CTGTGAGAACTTGACCACCGAGTTTGTAAAGGAAAGACTGTTGAGCGAATCAGCTAGACAGGCGAATCAGAAAAAAGAGACTGCCCTAGCCGGTATCGGAACGTTCGACCAAAGACCCATTCATCGAGCCGCCTATGGAGGAGAGAATTCTCGCAACAGAGCAGTAACATTCAATCGAGGTTCGTCCGACACGCGAGGGTTCTCCGGCGATTGCTACCGATGTGGAAAACCGGGCCATATGAAGAAGTTCTGTAGAGGGAGACCAATACAGGGAACGCACGTCGGAAGAAATAATGCTAGAGAGCAAGGGAGGATCGCAGCCGAGATCCCTGAAGACCGAAAACAGTTGGAACGTGTGCTCAAGTGTTCCGAAAGACCAGACGAATGGCTCATCGACTCAGGAGCAACCAGTCATATGAGTGGAAGAAGACATCTTTTCGTATCCTTGAGCAAGAATGGAAGGCAGCGGCAGGTCCTCCCTGCAAATGATGAGATATTGGACTCGGAAGGTTCTGGAACTGTCGAGATCGTTTGCCATGTCAATGGAGCTCCTCGGATCACGAGGTGGAGCGACGTTATGTTTGTACCCCGCCTGACGGTGAATCTCATCTCAGTACAACAACTCACAAGGAAAGGATTCAGAGTGGAGTTCAACCGAAGATGCGAAGTAAGAAACGAGAACGATGAGCTCTGCGCAGTGGCTCTCCTATCGAAGAGTGGATTGTATCGGCTTGAGAGTACCCCGAGGACCTCGCTATTTCCGTGGTCCGCGAGCGAAAGAGAGCTGTCCAGAAGGACTCGGGCGGTGTCAAGCGACCGAGGGCCTCCGAGGCCCGGAACGACTTGGGAGTTGTCCAGAAGGACTCAGGCGGTGTCAAGCGACCGAGGGTTTTTTCGGCCCGAAACGACTTGGGAGCTATCCGAAAGGACTCGGGCGGTGTCGAACGACCGGGGGCTTTTTTGACCCAAAATTGTTCGGGAGCAGCCCAGAAGGACTCGGGAGGTGTCGAGCGACCTGGGGCCTCTACAGGTCCGAACGACTTGGGAGCCACGGAATGGCAGGTTTCGGTTCACGAGACACCGGGGGCTTGCTCACCGGTTTTCGAGACACCGGGGAATAGCTCATCATTGTCGGTCTCCGAGGCACCGGGGACTAGCTCGATGTCGTCTCAAGAGAACTTGCCATGCGGAAGTAGCGACACTGAATCACCCGAGGAGAGAGTCGGGGCTCACAGGGCAGATTCGGCTCACGGAAGAGAATACGAACTTTGGCATAGACGACTCGGTCACCTCAGCTCGGAAGGCACGAGAGAATTGACCAATGGAATGGCCGAGGGTGTCGATGTACGGATCTCTGGTAGTTTGCCGATTTGCGGATCATGCGCTGAGGGGAAGCAGACTAGGAAGAGATTTCCAGTTTCACTGACAAAGACTAGCTCAAGGCTAGAACTGGTACACAGCGATCTGTGTGGTCCAATGAGCGTACAGAGCATCGGTGGTCAACGATACTTCATTACGTTCGTCGACGATTTCTCACGTCTCACCGTGGTATACTTCATGAAAACGAAAACGGAAACTTACGAAAAACTAGTCGACTTCGTACGATATGCGGAGACTGAAGCAGGGTCACGACTGAAAAGGCTCAGGACGGACAATGGGACTGAGTGTGTGAATAATCGATTACTGGCTTTTCTAAGAGAACGCGGCGTACGACACGAAACCACAGTCGCTTACTGTCCGGAGCAGAACGGGGTTGCCGAGAGAGCTCAGAGGACGCTAGTCGAGAAGGCCAGAGCGATGTTGGCAGACGCTGCTCTTGACCAGAGTTTCTGGGCGGAAGCAGTGAATACTGCTTGCAAATTGAAGAACGTTAGTCCCAGTGCCGGTCTGAAGGATTTGTGCCCGGAAGAAGTGTGGACCGGAAAGAAACCCGACCTGAGCTTCCTCAGAGTATTCGGCTGTTAAGCGTACGCGCACATTCCAAAGGAATTGAGGAAGAAATGGGACTCGAAATCAGAAAGATTCATCTTCGTTGGATATTGCGCGCTATCGAAGGCGTAAAGATTGATTCCGCTCAATGACAGAACCCAGGTGAAAAAGAAGCGTGACGTCATAATCGATGAGTACACAAGGGCTTCGTCCGTGGGAGCGAGTTCAGTACACCAGATGATAAAGGCAATGAAGGATTGTCAAATGTCTGTGAGATAGCGGGCTCAATGCCGAAGCAAGACGCAGTCTCAGGATCGTCAGATAAGCCAGCTGCTGCTCAAGAAATTCCAGAAGGAAACAACCAGTCAGGACATGGAGGTGCCCAGGTGGAAAAAAGGTACCCCAGAAGACAACGAGAGGAACCAATTTGGACGAGAGACTACGTTTGTGTAGCGTGTCAAAGTAGCACCTCGAACGATGATGCTCCCTCAACAGTTAAGGAGGCCATGTCTTGTGAGGAAGCAGAAGGGTGGCGCGCGGCCATGGAGATTGAGAGGGCGGCCCACAAAAAGAACGGAACATGGATGCTTGTCGACAGACCGAAAGATAAGAAGATAATATCATCAAGATGGGTCTTTCAGAGAAAGAGGGATAGTGAGGGTCGGACGACAAAACTGAAAGCGAGACTCGTCGGGCGAGGATGCTGTCAGATCAAGGGAGTGAGTTTCCAAGAGACCTACTCACCGGTCATTAGAATGACAACTCTCCGTCTTTTGTTTGCGCACGCTGCGATTCAAGGATGGAAAGTCCATCAACTCGACGTCGGAACCGCGTATTTACACGGAGAGTTGAAGGAAGAAGTACTGATGGAACAGCCTGCGTTATTCGAAATCGGGGACATCAAGGTCTGCCTTCTGAAGAAGTCCCTGTGTGGTCTCCGTCAGGCCGGACGAGTGTGGTTTGAGACTCTCAATGCAAGACTCACACAGCGACCGAATGAGAAAGTAATCGTACTCGATCAGAGAGAAACAATCGGAAGAATTCTGGAGAAATTCGGCATGAAGGAGTCGAAACCAACGGCAACGCCCTTAGAGGTTTGTTCGGTATTTAAGAAAAGAACTGAAACCGACGAGCCTACCGAGGCACCTTATCGCGAGGCCGTGGGTAGCCTACTGCATCTTTCACAAACTACAAGACCGGACATAGCTCACGCCGTTGGCGTTGTGAGCCAATTTTGTTCCGATCCGACGACTACCCACTGGTCGGCATTGAAAAGGATTCTCCGTTACCTGAAGGGTTCCATTGACCTCCAGTTGAAATTCGATGGGGACATCACAGCGGACATCGAAGTATACTCGGACGCCGACTGGGGAGGTTGTCAAGACTGTAGAAAATCCACGACGGGGTACGCTGTCCTTCTCGCCGGAGCCTGCATCTCCTGGACGAGTAAGAAACAGCCTACGGTGGCGCTCTCCACGAGTGAAGCTGAATACATGGCTTGTTCTGCGGCAAAAACGAATATCTGGAATGCTCATGAGAATGTCAGGAATGTACGACCATGGAGGCTGCCATATGCCAATGCTTCAGAGTCACGTATTGGCAGACCCAAGCGATGTCGGTACCGAAGATCGCGCAGAGACCCAGTCCGAGTCCAGCGTTCACGACCCACACCACGTAGGGCGAACTCAGGACGAAGAACACGAAAATCAACGACGATACCAAGGCGGAAACCAGGTTGAACTTTAGGCAGGAGAGTTGAGGAAAGAAAACATGAGTTATTCTGAAATAAAAAAAGGCTGCACGCTGTCAACGCGTCGAAAATCATAAGCTCGCGGAAAACTCACCACAATGACGAGGGTGAGCGGGAGCTTGTGCAAGATCAGGATGATAATTCGCCCCACGAAGAACGTCGCACGGAATGCGCCCCCGAGATACGCCCCATCGGATTTGGTGAGATGAAGATCCGATCGGATAACGAACGATGAGATCATCCCTGAGAATCATTCGATCGTCTACTCGTAGATCTCGCTCGTACCCATGAAGACTTTCGCTTCGTCTCAGGACGAGATATTCCTCGATATTCCAGAGTATGCGGGTGCTTACCCGTGAAGGTCATCTCCAGGCTCACACAGAACAATGACATCACAGCCAACAGGATCACTAGCGTCGTTTCAAAAACCTTATCACGCTCTTTCGGAGACGTGTCGGCGTCGGTTTTTTCGGCAATCGTCGGTTTCGGCGGGTATGGTACCAAGGCAGTAGTTATGGCTAGCGCAATGCCTAGTAGAACGCACAACGCGCCGATTCCGGCATGGGGAATGTAAATACGGGAAACCTGAGAGCCGACAAGGATCAAGTATTAAGGGGCATACGCTGCCTCGAAGCGGAGGTTTGATCCATTGATCAGCCACATTGGCAGGCCAATGTCCCGAAGGAACTCACCGATGCCTGTTGGAGTTTGCCAGCATCTAGGGGGTTGCTCTTACTCAGAAACGGCTCAGAAATGAAAGGAACGACGAAAACTGCGAAGCCGTAGCCCAACATGTGAAGTTGCAGAGGGAAATTGGGATTCTCCCAGAGATTCGCTATCGCTACGTAGGAACCTGCAAGCGACGAGAGACGCGTGAGACTCTCGGGGTGGGGGAAGTTTTTCCCCCGTCAGTCATCGAATCTCTGAGCTAGGTTTTGATCCCTACTCACCGGCTTCAAAGAGAGCGAGCACTAGACCATTGAAGAAAGACTATTATATGAGCGGCCCACAGATATTTCGAGATAGGATAAAAGCTGTTGTTATTCCCTCGATGAAGAGTGCGCCCACCAGGACTCGCCTCGAATTTCGATCATTCACGGCGAAGCTTTCTGAAAGGTGAAAGAATCCAATGACTGAATCCGATATGGCCGTGTGGACAGCGGGTCATTTGCCCGTGTCGTGGTCTGAATTTTTTCGATCTCTGTCTCATAGATAGACTACAACCCAGGATAGAGCCGATGAGATTCCCAGCTGATCGTGATACATAGAGTTCCGAACCTCGTCTATCTCGACTCCATAGATTTCGGCGAAGTCGATGAGAGTCGGTCCCGTAATTCCGTACGAGAAGGCC